GTCCCAGCAACTTTGGAGGCTGAGGCAAGAGAATTGCTTGAGTCCAAGAGCTGGAGGTTGCTGTGAGCTGTGACATCACAGCATTCTATCAAGGGCGACAAAGTGAGACTGTGTCTCAAAAAAAGATATTACACTAAAATTTATTTACCTGACTGTTGATTTGTTAAGCACTCTCTGAAATTCTGTTCCCAAAATGAGTCACCCTAGACCAGGCCTACCAAATGGTGTTTATCCCAGGCCCAGCCTGGACAGTTTTCAGGCCCTTGTGTAATAAAAGGGAAAATACTGTATTCCCACATTCTGTTCATGTCAGTTTCTCTGAAAAATGGGGAGGTAGGACTCCATGGTTTAGTTGGACCTTTAAAAAAATGTATTACTAAAGAATATCCCCAGGTCACCATGGCTGGATAAACTTTCATAAAGTGAACTCACCTGTGTACCCAGCCCTGCGCGATAGATCCTTTACTACATCTTTGAATCCTACTTTGTGTTCTTTTGGTCATGACTCCCTACCATGGCCCCCCTTTTTTGACTCTTCTATAAACAGTTTTATTGAATTAAAATTTACACACCATACAATTCACCCATTGACAGCCTATGAGTCAATGATTTTTGGAATATTCACAGAGTTGCACAACCATCACCACAGTCAATTTTAGAACATTTCATCACCTCTAAAAGAACCCTTGCACCCTTTAGCTAGCAACCCTTTAATCCTGACCGTAACAGCTAGCTCTAAGCAAACACTAATTTATGTTTCTAACAATCTAAACTTATGTCTCTATGGGTTTGCCTATTTCTGGATATTAAATATTATTATAATATTATTGTGAATGGAATCATACAAGGAGTGCTCTTTTGTGTGTAACTTCTTTGACTTAGCACGTTTTCAAGGTTCATCCTCATTGTAGCGTCCGCCAATACTTCACTACTTTTTATGACCAAACCATTGTCTATTGTACATTCACACATTCTGTTTATCCACTCATCACCTGATGGACATCTGGGTTGTTTTCTACCTTTTTGCTGTTATGAGTAATACCAGTATAAACATCTTTGCGCAAGTATGTTTTTGTGCAGACGTATTTTCATTTCCCTTGAGTATGCCCATATACCAGGAGGGGAACTGCTGAGCGGTTTGGTGACTGCAAGGGGTTAGAGGTTTGAGGAACAGCCACAGCGGCTGCACCGGTTTACATTCTCCCCAGGCCTGCGTGAGTCAGGGGCTGCTTTCGACATGCTGTGACCATCAGTCGTCACCTCTCTCTGGGTTTCCTCTCCTGTAAAATAGAAGTAACATCATGTATCTCCAGAAACAGAAGATACAAGATGGGCTGGAAATAAAAATTAGAAAAAAAAATAAAAGCAAGAAAGAAAAAAGAAATGAGAACAAACTCCACAGGGCCCCTACTCGTTTTTTCTGATTTTGCACGTTTTCCTTTTCCTCCTTGTTTTTTGCTCTTTTCCCTCTGTCTCTCTATTCCTTTATCTCTTTCTGCTTAAGTGGAGGCACCTGGGGCTTATTCTGGAGCCAAAGGTAGGTGGGAGCTGGACAGATGCCGTTGTTTAGGGGAGGAACCTGCATGGGAGCGAGGACTCAATTCTCCCACTTTCTGGGTGAGTTTTCTGATCGCGCGCTCAGGCACCGTCCCGAGCCCCTCCCCCGGTCCCGCATCCCGCGCTCCGGGCGTCCCAGGGCGGACACAAAGGTCCACTCCCGACCGTCCCGCCGCCCCGCCCCTGCCTGCCGGCTCGGGCCCGCGGCCCCATTGGCCGGGCGCTCCTAGAGGCGGGACCGCAGTGCCCCCGCCCCGGGCCACGCCCCCTCCCCAGTTTGCCTCTCGCAGTCGGAGTGAAGCAGCTGGAGGAGCCGAACCAGTCGCTAGGTAGGGAGATTTTCCGGGGGATCCCCAGGAGGGGCGTGGTGGGGCGCCCTTGCCCTGAGGTCCTGGGAACCCGGAGATGGGCCCGGACTCTTTTGCCGCTGCCGCCTGTGTTCAACCCCCCTCTCCCCCGGTGCGAGGTCTCCCAGCACGGCGGCGGGGGGGCTCCAGACTGGGTTTCTTTAGGCCCCTAGGAAATGCCCCACCCGCCGTGGCCTGTTTGGGAAGCGCGGGTTACTCATCCAGGGGAAGGGGTGGGTGTGGCAGCAGCAGGGGGATTCGAGGCGGACGTCGAGAGGCACTTCCCGCCTGGCCACCTGTTTTCTGCGTGCAGGGAAACCTCCCCACGCCGCCCTCCTCACCGCTTTTACCACGGTGCTGTGGGCCGAGGCGCGGGGGACGCCGCGCGCGGGAAGTGGGGCCAGCCCCCAGCCTGGCCTGGCCGCGCCAGCTGTGGGCTCGGCGGTGGGACGGTGGCCAGGCCTGGCGGGGAAGAGGTGGAGGGGACTGTCCTGGCGCTGCGCGATTAGCCCCATCTGGGGGAGGAGGAGCCGCGGGCTCGCTCTCGGTGGGTGTCGACGCCCGGATGAGGGGGTGTGGGCGGAGGAGAAAAACTTCATCCGCGTCCGCAGGTTCCCTCTCCGCCGGCTGTGCTAGCGACCCAGGTTGCAAACCGGAAATGCAACATTATTATTTTTTTTTGATTTTTCAAAAGGAAACCTCTGGCCCGACAGCTTTTTTGGGATCGGAGTAGATGTGTGTTCCCGGCGCGGGGTGCCCGGGGAGGAAAGCGATATCGACCCGCTCCAGGCAGGGCCCCTGTGTTCATGGGTTGGGGTCTCATTGCAAAATAAGAGGCCTCTAAGAGCCTCAGTTTCCCCATACGCGGCAGAGATAGAACTTTTTCCTAGGTTCAGGGAGGGGAGGCATGAGAATGAACGGAGATGTCTAGCCCAGTGCCAGGACAAACATGAGCTACTATTTTTTTAACTTGCTATTTTGATATTTGTCAGTCTCTTTGTGCGTAGTCTGCCCCATTAATCTGTTTGCCACTCCAGAGTCAGAGAGAACTTGTAAAAACAATGGGTTCAAGTGAATCCCTGGCTTCAGATCATCCGCTGATGTCCCCATTGTATTTAAGTGCTAAACATTTCAACAGGGCTTCCTGTTGTCTTCTCCTACGACCTGCACCAGCCGCTCTCGGCCTCCCGTCTTCCCTCCCCGGCTCTGGACCACGAACCCTCTCCCTCTACTCAGGGGGCGGCCTGTCTGTCTCCCTCCCCCAGTGGCCGGGAGCCCTTCCAGGCCAGGGCTAGAGCAGAGTCCCTCAGGGGGGTTGGGAATGAGCTAGGAATTGATGCTTTGAGATCCAATGAGCTGAGCTAGGCCCAGCGCGGTGCGGGTGGGGTGCGCTCCTGGGGCGGGATGGAGGGTGGGTTCCCTTGGGAGGGAAACGGTCTTTGTCCCGCTAAGTGGCAAAGTCAGGACATTTGGTTTCTGTCCCATCAGCATGGGCAGGAATGGGAGGAAAGGATTATCTCTGATCGCCCCATGCCTGACAGTTCCACCCTCCGCTGCACAACTATTGTTGGCTGAGCCCACCGCGTGCTTGGCATTGTAGCTGGCACCGTATACATCCGCGGCCCTGGGACGCTGCACCATTCCAGTCCCTTTTGTCAGATGAGGAAACTGAGGCTTGGAGAGGTGAGGTTGCTTGCCAGGGGTCACAGAGAGAATAAAGAGCAGAGTCAGGCTGGAAAGTCCGACTGTGACCTTTCGCATAGGAATGACTGAATGTGGGGAGGAGGGCAGAGCAGGGTCCTTGTTAAGAGCGCTAGCTTGAGCTCTGGGGCCGTCAGGCTGGGGGTTGGGGCGGGTGCAGGGTCCTTGTGGCGGTGGGTGACTGTCTCTCTGCTGCTGGGCGCGGCTGTCCAGGGGTGCTAAGGGCCGGGGGTAGGGGGCTCAGGCGTCAGCGGCAATGTTGGAGCGGCCCCCTCGGTTTCCGGCCTCCTCCCAGCCATCCCTGCCCTCGAGGGCGGAAGAGCTGTTCCGGCCAGGCTGCACCTGGAAGGGGCTCCGGCCAGACCCGGGCGCAGCGGGTGCACCCTTACCGCGGGTGCCCCGGGTCGCTAACTGGGGCGCCTCAACCCGCCTTTTCGCTCCCGCCCTTCCCCTGGGTTCTCCCTCCCCTCACCCCTCCCTCCCTCTCTCTCTCCTCGCTCGCCAGACCCGCTCTCCCCGGAACAATGGAGGGGAATGTGGCGAGGCCCAACTCCAACGCTGCGTCAACCTCTGGCTAGTTCTAGGCCTCTGTCCCTTGCAGGACCCCTCTGTCCGGGCTCAGCTGACCCGCTCCGCCCCTTGGCCCACGTGCCCTCAGTTCTGTTTGGCTGGGGCTCAGCTACGACAGGGTGGGGATGGGGGTGGGACCGTGTCTCTTGCCTCAGTTTACAGAGCAGAACCCAGGTGCACTAGGCTAACTCTGATTCTTCTAGAGCAGCGTCCCCATCCCGGGCCGGTTTCCCTCCCATTCTCCTGCACTGATGAGCCTGCGGCTGTTAGGTGGGTAAGTGGGGTCACCGCCCTGCCTGTCCAGCAGAGGTCGCCTTCACAGGAGCTCCTGGGAAATGCAGAATCTCAGGCCCCACCCTGACCTGCTCAATCACAATTGCCTTTGAACACAATTCCCGGAGATTCCCGACACTAAAAGAAGCAGAAGCGCTTCTAAACCCTCTGTGCCTTAGTTTTCTCATCTGTGAAATGGGGACACAGACACCCTGGGTGGTGGGCATAGGGCAAGTAGAGGTCCCTCCTCCCTGCCCCTCCAAGGCTGGTCCTCCGCAGCCTGCCCTGTCTTCTGTCTCTTTCCCTTAGTGTGGGCTAGTCTAGCAGGCCTGGCCCTCAGGCTGAGAGCTGTCCCAACACAATGTCCAGCCCTGGCCTTCGTCAGCCAGAAACCCATAGAGGGGCTCAAGATACCCCCACATTGCCCCCCCCTTCTCTGTTTTCAGACTTTTTTCTTTTTTCTGAGACAGAGTCTTACTTTGTCACCCTCGGTAGATGCCGTGGCATCACAGCTCATAGCAACCTCAAACGCTTGGGCTCAAACAATTCTCTGGCCTCAGGCTCCCAAGTAGCTGGGACTACAGGTGCCCACCACAAAGCCACACTATTTTTAGAGATGGGGTCTTGTTCTGGCTCAGGCTAGTCTCAAACCTGTAAGCTCAGGGAATCCACCCATCTTGGCCTCCCAGAGTGCTGGAATTGCAGGCATGAGCCACAGCGCCAGGCCTGTCATCAGACTTTCAAAGAAGGGTCGGAAGCTACCAAGTGTGGAGCCTCCTAAAATGCTCTCCCTTTCCCTAAGTGGCCTCTGAGTGAGCTCTTGGCTTCTGGCTCCTGAAGCATCCTTGCAGTGGCTGGAAGACTTTCAGGCAAAGAGGCCAGGAGAGGTCAGGGTGAGGTCAGCAGAGGCTAGACAGAGGGGCTCTGCCTGATGGGTGAGCTAAGTGCCCACATATGGGGGTGGGCTGAGGAAAGTTGGCAAGGCCACAAACTGGTGCCCACTGAACTGGAGCCTTCTAGGAGTTACTGCAGAGCCTATGGAAAATTCCCAGGCTATTTTGGGCTGAGGCCCCCTTCTCCCTCCAGTTCTCCGGCTGAAGGCCCTGCAGACACACCCATCCCTGGGGGCAGTCAGGGTGGGAGTGGCTTCCTGCTTCCTCTGCCCTGGACCCCCTCCTTTGGCCTGGCAGTCAGCAGACAGAGGGAAGGGGGCACATGGCCAGCTATTTACCTTCTCAGCCCGCCTGCTTAAGAACTGCAGTCCTTCTCCCCGTGCCCATCCCCCACTAGCTTTCCCCCCACATGGCATTTCCATTGTCTAATACACAGTATTTCACCAGTTTTTTATACACTGGGTGACCCTGGCAAGGTGCTTGACACTCAGTTTTCCCCTGAGTCTGGGTCTGGGAATAGGGGACCCCATTTGTCAGGGTCCTCTGGTGCTAATACAGGCCCCTAGCTACATACAAGTATGCAGTTGCCAGATGCACAGCGCACAGACATACCTCACGTATCTGTACACATGGGAACACACACCTCCATACATGTGCACACACAAACCAGTCACATGATGTGCCTTGGGCATGACATTTGGTCCGAGTTGGTTTTCCTGGTCTCACCCAGGGCCTGTGCCAGCCTAAGCTTTGGGGTCTTTTTTCAACCCTGCCCCAGCTGTGGGGAGTTGAGAGCTGCTCACAAGGATCGACCCTGGCTTCTCCAGGATGCTCTAGGGCCATGCCTGGAATTGCTCGGAGAGCAGTTTCCAGCTGGAAGCCAGGCCCATGCTGCTGCGTGGGGCTGGGGCTTGTGTGTGTGAGGACAGGGCAGCAGGGGTGAGGTATGGGGGCAACCAGAACTGGCTCCTGGGCTTTTACCAGCTCCCCAACCCCCCACGCTGAGACCATTTGCTACTTCACTCTACAGGGCCTGCTCTGGCCACCCCAACTGCTCTCCAGCCCAGATGACTAAGGGGCGGCTGGCTAGGTGGTGGTTAAAGCTCCTGGGTCTCCCAGGTGGTGCAGCCCTCACCCACCAGTCACGTATGTTCTCTGTGCCTCAGTTTCTTCAACTGTCTGGCGAATGTGAATGAGGCCATCTCCTGCAGTTCTGTGCAAGGTGCTTAGTGCACAGCAGATGACAGCCAAGGTTCTAATACTGGTTAAGACAGAGACTTTGGGTCATTCCCTGGACTGTGTCTGAGTCCCTGCTCTGTGCCAGCCCTTGTGCTATGACATGTAGAAGGACCCTGTGTTGCCTCAGACCACCACCCCCGAAGGCCATGGGCTTCCATTGGCATCTCTGAGGGACAGAGTCTGTGGGGTGAATTGAGGGGGCTGGAGTGGAGGAAGAAGGGCACTCCCATTTTGAACCTGCCTCATGAATCCAAGGGAGGTAGGTGGACGCTGTCAGGGATGTGCAGGCACATAGGGAGGTGAATGGATGGGAAAGGAAAGATGATGACGCTGGTGCAGCCTGACTTTGGGCTGCCTGCCTCCTTTCACCTCGCGTCCTGTCTGTCCTCCCTCTCTCCCCTCCGTCTCCCCATACAACACACTTGCTGGCAATCCTTTGCATAGGCTTCTCCCCCAAACCTGGAACAGCTTCTCTTTACTTTCCAAATGTTGACTTTTTCTCATTGTTGAAGGCCCAGCTGGCACCTTTGATAGAGCAGCACCCCACCCTGCTACTTCTCATCTCTGTTTCTTAAAGTCCTTTTGGTAATCTGGAATGATTTTTTTTTTTTTTTAAGAGACAGAGTCTCATTTTGTCGCCCTTATAGAGTGCTGTGGCATCACAGCTCACAGCAACCTCTAGCTCTTGGGTTTAGGCAATTCTCTTGCCTCAACCTCCCTTGTAGCTGGGACTAAAGGTGCCTGGCTATTTTTTTGTTGTTGCAGTTTGGCCAAGGCCGGGTTCAAACCCAGCACCCTCATATATGGGGCAATTGCCCTACTCACTGAGCCACAGGCGCCACCCTGATTTTTTTATTTTTTGAGATAAAGTCTTGCTCTGTTACCCAGCCTGGAGAGTAATGGTGTGATCATAGCCCTGAAAGTCCTGGGTTCAGGTGATCCTCCCACCTCACCTCTTGAGTAGCTGGGACTATAGGCAAGTGCCACTTGATTGATATAAAGCATTTTTTGTAGATGTGGGGTCTCATTATATTGTCCAGGCTAGTCTTAAACTCTTGGCCTCAAGCAATCCACCTGCCTTGTTGCCTCAGCCTCCCTAAGCATTGGGACTACAGTTATGAGTCACTGCACTTGGCCTGTAATGATATCCATACCTGTTTATTCTCTGGCTCCAAGTTCAGCCCTGTGTCTGCAGTACCACGAACAGGACCTGTTGAGTGATTTTGTGATGATAATTATAACAGTCATAGTGATGGTTATTGTTCACTTGTTTTGGGCAGTTGGTATGCTTGGGTCTTAGTGTGTATTATCTCTTTTCAACTTCATGATGATGGTGTGAAATGGGGACTGTTACAATTCCCATTTTCTAGATGTGGAAACTGAGGCCAGAGGGTTAAATAATTGCCCAAGATCACACAGCTGGCAGATTTGAAGTCAGATGTACCTGACTCCAAAAGAAAAGGGGAACTGTGGGCAGAAGAGAGGAGGGGAGTACCCAGTCTCACTCTGTTGTCACCAGGCCACTGTAGTCCTGCCTGCTGTCCTGGAGGCCTGGGTTGGGGGTGAGTGGGCCCTGGGGATAGGTGGGGGGGGGGCCCTCCCCTCTCTGGGCCGGCCTCCTTCCCAGAACCCTAGTCCTTGGAACATTCTAGGACTCTATGACCTGGGCTGGTGGGTCACGCTGGAGCCCTGGCCCCCAGGTAAACAGCTGGGGCCTTTATGAGCTGGGGGTTCCCTGGCCTTGCGGTCCTCCTTGGCCTCGGCTGCAGCTGAGACAAGGGTCAGGAGGTAGTTATGTCACTTCCTCTGGAAGGCCAGCCGGACAGAATCAAGTCCTCACAGGGGAGTGTGGGGACACTTGGAGGGAGAGGTTTTGTCTTTCTGGGGGAGGCATTGGGCCTGGTTCTTGGGTGGTGGGGGTTGGAGGCAGAGGTGGCCCTGCTGGGTGCTGGAGGTGGAAGGTGCCCATAAATGAAGAAATTGGGGGTAAACTTGGGGGCAGGTTGCTAGAGTGTCTTTTCAAGAATAGCCAGAAACTTCAATTTTGAGGCAAACTCCTGGGATCTTTAAAAGATAGTTGGTATTTTAGCTTTGAAAGCTAAATCAAGTCCCCCCACAGTCACTTTTGTCCCACACCATGTGAACGTGAGTGACTTTCTGGGTCCAGACCTCTCCCTTGGCTTTACTGGCCGAGCCTCATCTGCTGCCCCCATCGCCAGCCCTGAGAAGGTACTATGGTGCTCACTCAGCTACCCCACTTGGCAGGTGTGAAGACTGAGCCTATACAAAGAAAGGACTTGCCTGAGGGACTTTGCCTCCAGCTGTTGCTATTTCCCCTGGGCCTGGAGCTGAGGCTGTGTTAGAGCTAACACCTTCCTCTTTTGCGTTCAGGGTTTGCTGGGCACAGTGCAGGGTCCTATTCTTGTAGAACTGGCAAAAGCTAGGCAGCAGCTAAAGAGTCCCCTCCCTCCAGCCGTCCAGCTGGGTCTCTCCCACATTCTGGTGCATGCTGGGGGTCACTGAGGGAATTTGATTTCATAACAGCGACTGGTGAGCTGGGCTGGGTGGAAATTCACTGCAAGAGCCTGGATCTGTGGACTGGGCCAGACGGCCGTGCAGCCTTTGAATTCCCTTCTTCTGGGTCCTTTGGGATCGCCCACCAGAGGGAGGCTTGTGGCAGCCCATCAGGGATCCAAACTGGGAGTTTGAGCTCTTTTTGGTGTGTGTTCTGGAATTTCCTGGAGGTAGATGCTGTGTGTGACTCACGTTTTTGCCCCTCACCCCCACCTTCCCCGTGGTGTTAGGCATGTGGCAGGGCCATGAAGTGTCTGTGGGGTGGCCAGAGTCTGGAAGGAGGTGGTCAGCATTAAAGCCTGCCTGGCTGATGCCTTCTGCTTGTTCTCCAGCCCTGCCTCTCTCTCACAAGTGTTTACTTACTGTCCCAACTGTGCCAGGGTTTTATGCCTTGGACTGGGGACATAGAGGGGACCGGTGCTGTCTTGGTTAGGGATGACCTGGCATTTTTGTGTAGAGCTGTGAGCAGGGGAGACCCACGGCTACTGCAGGAGCCCAGAGAAGGCACCTGACCCAGCTGGGTATGTTCCCAGACACGGTGACCTCCCTGATGAGGGGATCTCAAGGACTGTGTCCCAGATGGAGGATTCAGACCTGGAGGCTGGTATGCATCAGGGTCCTGCCTTGCAAGGCATGAGCCCCTGAGAGTCCCCCATCTCTTTCCAGGTCAGCCATGTCATCTGAGCCTCCCCCACCGCCACAGCCCTCCACCCAGCAGGCTTCGGCTGGGCTACTGAGCACCCCTCATAATCGCGAGCGCTCACCATCCCCTCTTCGGGGCAATGTGGTCCCAAGCCCACTGCCCACTCGTCGGACAAGAACCTTTTCAGCGTGAGTCTGGGCTAGCCGGGGACAAGTCTCAAGATAATAGCCTACCTGAAGCCAGAGATTCACTGTATCCTTGGCTGTCAAATAGGGAGACTGGGGGCTGGGTTGAGGACCATTGGTGAGGACCGGGAAGGTGCTTTCTGAACTCTGAGGGTACTGCCCATGAGAACCTGTTACGTACGGGCTGGGAGTGGTAGTGAGCGGGCAGTTTTGAGAGTCTTAAAATCACTGGGTTTTAACTACAAATAAGTATCTTCTGCCTTGATTAACTCAGCTATAAAACTGGGAGAGTATCAGCGTGGCCATGGGGCTGCAAAGGACCCACATGATACAGATCTCAGGCCCAGTGAGTGGAGGTGCTGCTGTTAATAATAATTAACAATTAAGGCTGGGCACCATGGCTCATGCCTATAACCCTAACACTCTGGGAAGCCGAGGTGGGTGAATTGCTTGAACTTAACAGTTCAAGACCAATCTGAGATCTTGTCTCTACCAAAAATAGAGAAACTAACCAGGCATTGTGGTGGGCACCTATAGTCCCAGCTACTCAGGAAGTTGAGACAAGAGGATCTCTTGAACCCAAGAGTTTGAGATTGCTATGAGCTATGACACCATAGCACTCTACCCAGGATGACAGAGTAAGACTCTGTCTCCAAAAAAAAAAAAAAAAAAAAATTAACAATTAGTCTCTGGAGGTATGCTCAGAGATCTTTTACTTCAACTTTCTAAGTGGGAAAACAAGCCTGAGAAAATTCAGCAGGGTCATCCAGAGTGTCATTTTTACCAACGTCTGTGTGAATGGCTCCCAGAGTCGTGCAGTGCACAACCTGTGTGACTATAAATGATGACCTTGGCCAGGACTCCCTGAGGCACAGTTGTGGGTAGGGGCTAAGATGAGTTGGGTGTGCCCCAGGAGAGCCGGCGGCTGTCCTGGAGGGCTGATGGGGCCCCTTAATATCTCCTTTTCTCTGTCAGGACGGTGCGAGCTTCACAGGGCCCTGTGTACAAAGGAGTCTGCAAATGCTTCTGCCGATCCAAGGGCCACGGCTTTATTACCCCGGCTGATGGTGGCCCTGACATCTTCCTGCACATCTCCGAGTGAGTCAGTGGCAGGTCTGGGCAGTCTGGAAGTGGGGACAGCATGGGCCTGTAATGGGTGCTGAGTATGAACATTTGGCTTGGCCTGTGTACTCTGCTTTTGACCAGCACTCTGATTATAGTCCTCTGTGATGGGATGTGTAGGGGGTGAGGGTGTAAGATACAGTCTGTAAGATGCCCTTTGTCTGTGTTGGTGTGTGTGTGAGGCTGCAAGTGACACTTATGTCTGACTGATTGTGTTTTTATGAACGACTGTGTGAAATTTCAGGTATGTACTCCCTGTACTATGGATGCCTAGAGGTGTCTGGCTCTGCTTATGGGGGATAGGGTGGTAGTACATTGTGTGTGAGACTACTTGGGTGAGTCTAAGCACCCACATGTATCTGACCAGTGGGAAGGATGCCCCGTGAGTTGGGGGACCCTTATTTGGCCTAGGGGCTGGTTTCCTGCCTTGCTTTGGGAAGTGCCTGGCGAGACTAGGGGCTGCCCGGCCCTTTGCTGCAGGAAGGAAGTTTGGGGAGGGACCCCTTCTCCTGCTCTTTGACGTCCTTCCTTCCTGAGTGTCTGGAAGCCCTTGGGGAGCTCTCAGCAGGGCCTGTACATCCTAGGCCTCGGAGCTTCACCTTTGAGCTCTGGGGAGTCTTTAGATATGAGAGGACCCTTACTCTGGCACCCATCACCCCTCCACCCCCTTTTTTGGGCTAAGCACTCCCCAGTCTTTAATTTCAGGCAGCAAATTCCTGTTCTGCATAGCAGACCTGGCAAACAGAAACCACATTTTTGAAAATAGGATCCTGTTGCACAACCTCTGCTGAGTTGCCCTTTCCCCCACATCCTTACTTATCAGGTCTACTACAGGGCTCCTGCATAGCATAGGTGTGAGAAAGATGCCAAAGTGATGTGCTACACGTGAAGGCACATGGGGCATGCAGATCTATTTCCACACAGCCTCTCTCCAGAAAGAATTAGTAATGGTTTACAGAGACAGTGAGTTAGTAAGAGAAACGTGGGGCAGATGGAGCTACTGTGTTGTCTGGTTCCTCTGCTAGAGGTAGGCTGCAGATTGGTTCCTGAGCTTCCTGGTGATCATATCAAAGAGGGAAACACTGCTCACCATATGATTCTCCAATCAGGACAAACCAGTGCCTGGGGCAGTTGGCTAGCCCAGAGTCTCAAGGGGATTTTCCTCCTGGGATCTCTTGGAGGGACTATCAAGAAGTCAATCTCATGGTGAAATAGTGACTCAGGTCCCCTACAAAGGAAGGGAACCTTGCTGGGGGTGCTTACCCCTGGGACCTGGGGCTGCCTAGTCCATCTCTGAACTCTGATTCTGATGCTGTGGTGTCCTCATCTCTCTGGCTCAGATTGGCTGTGCTCTTCTATCCACAGCTCAGGCGCTCATGTTTGATGTCACAGCATGATCACCCACAGATGGCTGAGCTCTGTCTTTTAGGCTCAGTATCAAAAGTCCCAGGGAAGGAGCTGATTGGGTTAGGGGCTCCACCAAGACAAGGGGCAGTGTGGCGGCTCCTTCTTGTGGATGGGCAGGAGGGCAGTTCCAGGTGGTCAGTCTGACCAGAAGGGTGCCAGGCACTAACTGCTTTCTTTGTCCTCCCATAGTGTGGAAGGGGAGTATGTCCCAGTAGAAGGCGACGAGGTCACCTTTAAGATGTGCTCCATCCCACCCAAGAATGAGAAGCTGCAGGCTGTGGAGGTTGTCATCACCCACCTGGCACCGGGCACCAAGCACGAGACCTGGTCCGGACATGTCGTCAGCTCCTAGGAGATGCTTGAAGCGCCCCTTTTGCTGGGCCTGTGGGAGACTTTGTGGGGGAGGAGGAAGCAGGACCACACGGAGATGACTTTGTAGCACATGAGCTGGGGATATCAAGGGGGCGGGGAGCATGGTCCCTTTCAAGTACCTCCTGGAGAAAGGGGGGGCAGGTCCGGGGGTGCTCTCGGCCACCAGCATGGCCTCTGACCATCGCAACAACCTCTCACCATCTGAACAGCATTAAAAGCATTTGAAAAGGGGAGGTGCCCACTGGTGGCTGAGTAGAGGGGGTAAGCCCAGCCCAAGGGGTGGGTGGTAGTGTTTCCCCATGGCCCAGAGAAGCAGGCTCGGCCCAGAGTCTCTCTTCCAGTTGGATCAGTTGGATTTGGGGACTCCAGATCCCCAGGGGGGTGACATGGCCCCTGTGTGACTTCTCCAGAGTGGATTTCTGCCTGAGGGCCCCTCTTGGTTCTCTCCTGGGACAGGGCAGAATAGTCTTCTCATTATTGGCTTGATTGGTTCTAGGGTGAGCTGGCTTTAAGGAGGGTGGGCAAAGTTGGGGGGGGGTGGTCTTTGGATTGGAGAGATGTTGCCTTTTGGTGCCTTTGCATGGGAGGCGTCCCAGGAATCTGTCAGGGAAGACACTTTGTTTGGGAGCCTTGACCCCTGGGCTCTGTGGTCTTTGGTGCTGGGAGGCTGAACCCAAACTCCTCTCAGAACCTCGCCTGTCCCTCTGTCTGCTGGTTGAGTGTCCACTTAGTGGCCATTTTATGGCCTTTGTCCTTAGGTGCTTCTTGGGGGGTGGTGGTGGACATGGGTAGCAGAAGGATTCATGGAGAGGAGGGTCTCTAGATGCATCTAGAAGAGAGTAGGTAGCTGGTTTCCTGACAGACTGGTAAAGTTGAAGGAGAAAGACACCTTTGGTGAGGGGTTTTCTTTAAAACTGCCATTAGGAAATGTGTAAGGATTTTGTTTTTCCTCATTTTCAATAACTGAAGCTCTCGCTCTGGGCCGGCTCTGTATGCACCTTGCTGACATTGCAAATTTTTATAGGTATTTCTAGTAAAACAAATCCTTAGGATTTTCTTTGCTGTGGGTTTTGGTTTGGCTTTAGTTGTGATTGGAAAGTAGAAATTGGGTGACATTTTGAAATACAGGCATATGGCCTATACATAGTCAAGGATTTGCTCCTCAAATTGGCGCAAACCAATGGAGGGTTTACTCCGTGGCAAACCCTTTGAAACAGTGGCTTTTGGGCGGACAACAACAGGGACTAATGACTTCATCAGGTGTCTTCACCCTGTGGATGCTTCCTTTGAAAGAGCGTGGAAGAGAGCAGCTTTAAGACAGTGCATTGATTGTGTGTGTGCGGGAGACTCATGGCTGTTCCTGTCGAACTTAAGTTCATGGTTATTTTTTCCTGGCCTGCTGTGCACCTTGGGCAGCACCCCAGACCCTGCTCTCCCGTCTCCACCCCTGCTGGGTCAAAGGTGGCCTTTCCCTTCCAGCCTTGGATGATTCCCCAGGTGGCTCCCCAGGGGCCTTTGTGTTAAATACAGACCATACTTCCAGAGCCACTTCTGAGGCTGAGCACCCTCTTCTCCCTGTGCTGCCCTTGAGTCTCTTGCTTTGTTCTGGCCTTGGCACTGTCTGGGCGCTCTGTGCCCCCACATGCTGGTGCTCTAGCACATTGCCCGACAACAAGCTCAGGAGTTGCATTCTGCTATTCAGAGATGACCTTTGGATTCTGTCCATTGGCAGAATCCTTTGTAAATGGCTCTTGCTCTATCCTTCCTGTGTGACCACATTTTTTCCAATTAATGATTATTCCACAGGGTGTTAAAGGGACATGGATTCTCAGTTGACAGGTGGGAAATTGCTTGAGGCTCTGGGAGAGAAGAGACGTGTGCTGTTGGCTGGTGGCCAAGCTGGAACTAGAATCCAGGATTCTCAAGTCCAGGTCTTTTCTTCTACCAGTCACGTTTTTTCTCAATAAAGTTTGGTTTTGTGCAAGGCTGTGTGTTTGTTACTGTGGAGGCTGCTTGTCTAGGGTGGTTCCTTTAAGCCGGCAGGTAAGGGTGTCTCCCCCAGCTGAGGCTGACTTATTTTACTTTGCAGAGTCTGCCTTTTTTTTTTTTTCAGGGGGAAGCAAATAAGATGGGATCGTGGTTTTTTTTAATTGTCATTCTCTGTGGTAGGAAAGTTTAGCAGTAGAACATGGCTGTCTGGCATTTACTAGGAAGCCGTGGCTAAGTGCCCTATTGGTGTTTGGGACATGGTGGGAGTGTGGCGGGAAACTTAATTCTCCCACTGGGCCTATGCTGAAGAGGGAAGGGGCTTTGTGGTGTGTCCCTGCCCAGGCACAAGAAGAGGGCTCCTGTCTCTATGCACTCAGATGAGGCTGCCCCCATCTTTAGTGTCCAGGGCTGGTAGGAGAGGGTGAGGACAGAGTCTCTTCAGGGGTGGGGGGAAGAGCAAGGTGATAAGCTCCAGGAGCCAGGCTCAGGGCAGGCTCAGCAGGGAGGCAGGATAGCCCCTGTTCTTCATGTCAGGACAGAAGGAGGAGGGTCGGAATGGTACAGGGGGCTGGGGTAACCGTGACCAAAAGAGGCTGCTCTGGGAGGGACTTTGTGCCTTGCTGGGAAGGGTTTGCTCTGGCCAGCGTTTTCCAAGGACGGTATTGGTGGTACAGAGATCAACACAATTATTGTTAGTAATACAATCATTTTCACAGTGTTCTGGGAATTACTATACCCAGCCCATCAAACCTGTTTAGGGAGCGGCCAAAGTTGGTATTTAGCATGAAGCAATAGGATTTACTGACTTTACTTCACTGAGAACCATACAGGTAGCATGAACATGGCTTTGGCACAAATAGAAGGGAGGCCCATGAAGGCAGCTGGGAAACCAGCCTTGGTGAAGGAGGTGGAATGAGTTCTGGAACTTGACTTTGGGGTGCTATGGAAGGTGGAGTGGAGGGGGGAGGCAGCCTGGAGGCGTAGCTGCCTCTTTCCTTGGGATAGGAGGCACCTGACCTACTCTGGAGACTTGGGAGGAAGAGGAAGTGACTCAAGGACGGATAGGCCTAGATTACACCCAAGTTACAGCAACATCTACCTAACTGGCCACCCTGGTCACTTCCCATGCAGTAGCTGGAGAGGCTTTGGAAGGCCTTTCTCTCAGCCCTTCCCTCGGGACCAGGTGGGACCAAGTACCTGTCGGGCTCCCTTGGCTGGCCCCTCCGTCGGGGAAGCCCAGGCCTGCCTTCCACTCCCTGCTGCTCAGGTTCAACTTGGGCCTTTCCCCCAAGTCTTCTTAAACTCTGGATGACCTTGAGTCCAGGGTTAGCTTCCATATGCCTGGGTGGTGTGGTAACTCACCAGTGCTAGGCAGGCTTGGGTGCAACCTCAGCACTCTGCTTTGGCTCAGCACTTATCTACCGTATTTAAATTTCTTATGATGGTATCTTCATCCCGCCAACTCCCAGAGGCAGATGGAATGACTGTACCTGCCTTATAGGGGTCCTAGGGACAAGGGGGAAAGGGCTTACTTGAATAAGTAATCGCACACACTATTCGAAGTGCTTTACAGAAATTAACTTGTTTAAATTATGTATGTAGTAAGGACAATCCCATTTAGCAGATAAACGAACTGAAGCCCAGATGAACTTGGCCTTGGTCACACAGTTCTGCCACATGCAGAACCTGCCTTCCTGGGAGCATGAGGAAGGCTCTGGTAAGTGCTGTGTGCATGCCATTAAGCCATTATTGCCTTGGGTAATCACGATGGTTCCTCCAGAGCTAGATTGGGGCAATAGGATGACAAGATGACAGAATGTGGTGGAAGAAATTATTTTAATAACTCAGATTTTTTTTTTTTAGACGAGAGTTTTATTATATCCCCCTTGGTAGAGTACCCTGGCATCACAGCTCACAGCAACCTCAAACTCTTAGGCTTAAGCATTTCTCTTGCCTCAGCCTTCCAAGTAGCTGGGACTACAGGAGCCCCACAATGCTTGGCTATTTTTTTGTTACAGTTGTCATTGTTTAGCTGGCCTGGGCCAGATTCGAACTTGCTACCCTCAGTGTATGTGGCTGGCGCTGTCACCACTGTGCTAGGCACCGAGCCTTTTTTCTTTTTTGAGACCATTGCCCTGGGTAGAGTGCCATGGCATGGTAGCTCACAGCAACCTCAAACTCTTGGGCTTGAGCAATCCTCTTCCCCCAGCCTCCCAAATAGCTGGGACTACAGTCACCTGCTTGCTTTTGCTGTTGCTCAGGCTGTTCTTTAACTCCTGAGCTCAAGGGGTCCACCCACCTTGGCCTCCTAGAGTGCTACAATTACAGGCAGGAGCCACTGCACTCATCCCAGATGTTTCTAATGAAATGACCATTACAATTCCAAAGTTCTGAAGTGTCCAACAAACCACAGAATAATAATTTTTTAGGCTCCTGCTTGAAACTAACAGCGTCAGCAAACTGCTGGGCT